GTGAAGTTCAGCCATAGCTGAACTTTTTGATTCAACATTCTCTGATCTTTAAGAAGGAAAGTGCATGGATGTGGATCTGCTCCAATCCTAATACAAAACATTAAAGAAACATGAATGAGGTCTTTGTACGTACAGCTGTGTCACCCACCAATGAGGATCATAGGCCTGTTCTTCATCTGAGAGATACTGAACATGCCTGAAGAGAGAAAGAGGGATAAATTACAAATATTACAACAATCTGTGCGCATAATCCTAAAATTGTATGATGTATTGATTTCTACCTGCATGCTGTTTCTTCTTCCGGCCCACAGCGGCACCAATAATTTGCAGCAGCTCTTCATCGGACGCGCCAGAGCGTAAGACATCTCTGAGGGAGACCTCTGAGTTACCAAACAAACACACCTGAGAGAGGAGACGGACGGGAAAGAGTGAAAAGCTGTTTTCACAAATGCAATGCAGTCCAAATCCAAGATTAGACACGAAACAGATATTAACTAAATGGCTCCCTGGAGTCTGTGTAAAAAGTTCACTTTAATATCAAAAATTGCTTAAGAACTTAATAATAGATCAGTAGAGATGGTGGGAGAATAACCTACTTTTTATATTAAGCTAACAGCAGCAATAGCGTGCTTTATTCTGTAAGGTAAAGACTCGACAGTATTCTTAGAGAAAATCCCAACGATCAAGTGATCTGTTATGAACAAGCACTTTTGAGATGACGGGAAGGTAAAACTTCCTTTTAAACAGGGTCAGGGAGAGGCAGCCATCTGCTGCTGTGACGGGTTCTGGGGTAAGGGGAAAGAGAGAAGAAGAAAGAGAAGACAAAACAGAAAGAGAGCAGAAATAAAGCAGGTCAAAACAGACTAAGGGAGAGATTAGACACAATTCAATGACATGCTGTAGTGGTATGTAACACGTGGGGATATAAAAGAGGTGAGAGGTGAAGAAATACTCAGTCTATGACATTGGTCTCGATACAAACCCAAACAAATGTTGTATAATTTAATGAATTCAAATGCATCATAATAAACATTTCCTCTACTTTGCTCTGCAGCTCACTGTGGCCAATAGAAGACCTTCTGCCATATTCAGCTGAAGGCAGAGATGGCCTGTAGCTGACCTTACCAGTAGAAAGAGATGCCATCTTCCTATTGGGTAGACAGGCAGTCGTCATAGTTCACAGTGGTCAAAGTTACATTCTGCTGAACTTTGACCATAGCGCCTGCAACAGCTCTGTAGTTGTGCTTGTATCCTGTTGCTTGGTGCAAACCACTGAAATCAGTGTTTCAGAGTGAAGTGTATGCAGCCTCCTCTACACCTTCAGTGTATATTGATGCTAATTAGTTAAAAGTTTTGTCTCAAAAACAAAGGGAATGACCAGAAGGAGAATCAAAGGACCTTAATGGTGTAGAAAAAGGGACACTGATACATGAAGGTGAAGAAAAATGTATAAAAACAATAAGATTCTCATCAAAATTACGAAAAACTCAAGTAACAGCAAAAGATTCTGTCACTTATTAACAAATCACAAACCACCCTTTTTGCTCCACAACCTGCCGCCCACAAGCTCCGCCCATCTATAATTGCACACATGCATACATGAACATTTGTGCCATAGGACAATAACAGACCTCACGAACAGCTTTAAAGCTTTATCGGCTTTACCTTTAGGTTGCCGTCTGCAGTGATGCGTAAACGATTGCAGGAGCCACAGAAATGGTCGGACATGGAGGTGATGAAGCCCAGCTGACCTTTGAAGCCTGGCACTTTAAATGTCTGTTTCAAAACAGGGAAAAAAGTGAGAAATATACTTTCAAA